CTTCTCCCAGCCCTTTCCTGGCTCCAGTAAAGGAAGAACCCTGCACACCCTTGCGTCGAGCGTGGGCACACACTCAGAGGTGTAAGCCAGCCTGGACATCTTTATCTTCCCTTGCCCATGGCAACTGTCTATAAAACCACTGTCCTGAGGGAGCTCGAGACACACGGTGTCCACTCGGCATGTCAGCCCTGGACCCCAGGGTTGTAGCCCGTGTTCCTCGTTTTTGGAGAGATGCGACTCCACAGTGCAGGCTGGTGGAGCAGCTTCGCTCCAGGTGTCTGGCAGTACTTGGGGCACCTGCACAGCCTGTCCAGGGAGCGTCGGCTCCTGGAGTGGTGGTGGTGACCTCGCATGGTCTCTTCCCAGCCTTGGGCAGGGCCTCCCCAGGCCCTCTGTCCACTCACCCATGGGTCCCAGTGCCCACCATGGGCAAGGGCACAGGACACCCACTCACTGCTTTCAGTCTCCCTCCAGGCCTGGAAGGGATTCTCCTGGTGAGCACCCACTTTCAGGGAACCCTCAGAGACTGTAGTGATTTCCACAGGGACTCAGTCCATTTTCAGTTGCCCAGACAAAGTGCCTGAGGCTGGGTACTTTGTACAGAAAAGAGGTTTCCTTAGCGCCTGGTTCCTGGGTTGTGCAGCTCGAGGTCAGGCAGTGGCATTCAGCAAGCACTCATGCCCTGTCCAGAGATGTCCGTGGTATCGCGTGGCAGGAGCAGATATAAGCACCGCAAGCAGGTATGTGTGGAAGAGTGCGCGCTCAGAGCGAGGGAGGCACTCACTCAGCTTACAGCAACGGAGGTGCAGGAGCAGAAGAGCTCGCTCACTCCCAGACACAGCTGTCACCTGGCCTGCGCCCTGCGGCCTCCTGCACCGCCTCACTTCTCAAGACCCTGCTGAGGAGCTGAGGCTTGGAGGGTTTGGGGGGACACAGGCCCTGCTCCAGCACAGCAGGGCTTCGCCCCAAGAGCGTCCTGACAGCCTAGCTTCCCCTCGCTGTCTGCGGGTCCCTCCGTCCAGGCCCACACCTCCAGCTCACACTGTCCGCCCATGGCGGGAGTCCTGTCCTGGCTCCTCCGGGCAGAGCTCCCTGTCAGCGCGTCCCAGGGCTCGGCCGTCCCGCGGACACGGCCTGTCCACCCGAAGCTGCAGCCAACGAGCTCACTGCGGGCCTGGGCGACCACTTCCGTCTGTCTGGAACGCTCCCGGGTACGTCTGCGGAGCCCGAGTGGCCGGCACCATCCAAGACAGCACGGCTACTTGCCAACCGCTGGGTGTCCACCCCGCAGTCGGGTCTCCGGAGCGGCTGCGCGGCCTCTGGGCCTGAGCCGAGGTCGGACACTGGGTGTCGCCCGCGGGCCGAGCCGCGCGCTGAGCCCGAGCGCAGCCCCTGACCGCATCCGCGCGGGGAGTGCGAGC